GCGTTCCATCAAAGAAATTTCCAAAAGATAAAAAGCCAAAGTTTCCAGATTAAAAGGAAAAGAGAAAAGCTTTCAAAACCAGATCTTGCAAAAAAATCTTAGATTCAAGGAAGAGAGAAAAGCTTTCCATTTGAACTCACTTCATAGGATAGGATTTCTATTCCAAAACTAGATCTTGCCATTCAAATAATTAAAAAGGTGACTGGATAAGAACACTTTGAAAGACCCAAGTTCAATATTAGAAGTCTTTGGCTTTTCTCCTCAGTTCGTTAAACTCTTTCTCAATCTCAATGTAGGGGGATTTGTTATTCATAGTATACTTCCAGTTATCTTTGTCATTGCTAGATTTCCTAAAGGTCATCAAGATGTATCATTTCCTCGGGCAATTGTCTTTCAAAAGAAAATTTTACTACTACTACACTTCGCTTCTCATGTCCCAAGGGAGTGGTGGGTGGCAGGCAATGGAGTTTGGTGGTAGAGGAAGGAGATAACCCAAAAATACCAAAATACCCTTGTTTGTTCGGTCTATCAGGAACTAAATCGATGTTCTGCGGTGGCACTGTCGTGGAGGTCCTTAATTAGAGTCGCAATATAAGTTCACGTATCAAATTAGCCAGAAATAAAAATTTGGGACTAAATCAGCACTAGAAAAAAGTTTAGGGATGAATTTGGCCATTTTCCCTTCTACAAATTCTATAGTAAGTTACAGTAAAATTTTAGATAAACACCCAAAAAACTCATTTGTCAAACGGGATAATGGGTTAATTCCACTTTGCACGTTTCAACTACACCTAAATTTTTACTTTAGTCCTTAAATTTAAAAATAAGACACTTTAGTTTATAAACTACAAAATTTGTTCCACTCATTAAGGAAGTAAGACAGATTTTATGCCTAAGTAGATATATTTTAGGGAGTAAATTGGAATAAATTTCATACTTTAGGGATTAAAATGGATAAGTTATATATTTTAGGGACTAAAACATAACAATTTTTAAAATTTATGGACTAAAGTGTCATATTTTAAAGTTTAAGGACCAAAATGAAAACTTGGGGTATAATTAAAGGATACAAAGTAGAATTAACCCCACGATACTTTCTTCATTTTTTTATTAACAAACGTTAGGATTAGTCAAATTTAAAATGATCATATCCCTCCCTAATAAATAAAAATATATGCCATGCATCTAGATATGCACTACAAGAAATAAAGAGAGAATTCACTGAAAAAAAGCAAAATTCCTGCGCGGTTTGCTTAAACCTTTAATGTGGGGTTTGAATTTAATAATACCCAATTAACCCAAAGTGTCCCCACATAGTTACAAAAGAATTTGACATTTTCAACCTACTAACGAATATAATTTGTTTATCCATTGAACTTATACCGAAGACTGATATCAATAGTGTAATAAACACGCCCTATCGAAGCTTACCAGAACAGTAAAAAGTACACAGCTCATCTTCCTTTCAAGTTCATGCATTTGCTTGTTAATCTTCTTAAACTGAGGAGTTGTCATATGCCAAAAAAAAGAAGTGATGGGTTATTATTTCCTACCCTACTGTCCTTAGCTTCAACTTTTGTATATTAATTTGAGGAGTTAACTAATGTACTAAAGCATGGAGATCTAGTGAAACTTTGGAATTACTGAACAATGAAGCAATGCTTTTCATACTTTTTTGGCTTAAAAGAAAAGACACAGACCCTTTCCAAGAATAATTTGAAGAATAAATGTGTAATTTACACGATTTGAAAGCTAGTTCAAAAGACAAAGTGAACGGAGGAATTTCAATCCATCTAATATCCTGGAAACTGCATAGAAAAATATGAAAATAAAAGCCATGTTCAGGAAACGGCTAGGAAAGTGCAAGGGAAAGACAATGAAATGAACCGTGTCAATTATTAAGTTGATGAACCACAAACCAAGACTTCGTTGTTGTTAAGGGAAAGACATTCTTCATTGTTTTAGATATCATAATATTTAATTTCTTTATTCCCTCCCACATAATTAGTATGTGATTATGTAATTCCTTCAATTCTGTGATCATGCGAAATATTAATATTAGAATTCTAAAATTTGAGATCTATAGCATTTCCTTTTCTTTCTGGTAACTCTTTTTTTTTCCCCTCTGGGCTTCTTTTTAATAACTCATACACTACATAGTCAAGCTTAGGTATGGCAGAAAAGATTAAACTTAGAAATTCTAAATTGAATCGGAAAATAAATTTCCATTTTCGTTGTTAATAGAGAGGAATTTATAGATGCCATGGGGAAATAAATTTCAAGGTTTTTTTAAAATATTTTTTTAAGTAAAAAAGGTGTGAGATTTAAGAAGCGGAAAGGAAAAAAATGGGATTTAAACTCAATATCTCTAATTTCTAAAATCTCAACTCTAGCCACTAGATCAAAACATTCTCGGCTAGAATACATGTATCTTGTATGATATAAACTTCAAAGTAGGAGCTATAATAATATTTGTTTATCACATTGATAAGTTACTATTATTCTAATAGTATATAAGGGTGTTCACGAATTAAGTCGAGTCAGAATGAATATTTGAACTCATGTTCAAGTTTTAAAGTAACTTGTCTAAACTTGAATTTAACGAATATTAGCACTTAATCGTCACAATTCGAATTTAAGGATATTCATCTCGTGCTCAAACTCGTTCGAGTAAACAAAAGTAGCCCGACTCGGCTGCTACAGAAAGTAGTACGATTGGAACAGGGTCAATTGCTATTTACAAATTCACTGTCACATCTCACAGCCTATGGATCATGCTCAGCCCTAACACTAGCCCACAATCTCTTGAATTTCATCAGCCCAACCCATGTCGAGAAATGTACAGGACGTCGTCGTCTGGCAGTTCAACCGGTTGAAAATCTCTTCCTCTTTCGCTTTCCGTAGAGAACGGACAGAAACACAACAGCTTCAAGAAGATGATGAAAGGGTACGCATGGGCTGTTTCAGCTGGATTCAATGCTGCTCTTGCTGCCATTGCCGCCAAGCACTTTTCTTCCCAGGTAATTCTTGAGATATCCTCTAATAATCAACTGTATCATATCAGCTAGAAGAAGCGTTAATAGTTGATAATAGAATATGTATTCAACGTTAATAGCATGAATTTGGTTAATTATCAAGAAATTCGTCATATATTTGTGTTTGTTTAGTTCCATGTTGATCTGGAATGCGAATCTGACTAGGTTGAAATGTATTTGTCTCCTGACAGGAGGTGTCTTATTGATTTATAGTGAGAAATGAAAATTTGTTTTTTCAGTTGCATATAATATGTTTAACTCTTTAGCCCCTGCATAAATGTCAATATTATCTGGGTAATTGGTCATCCCATTTCGGCTGTATACTGTTTTAGTTCAATTAGTTTATAAGAGGAACTCCCGGTTTGTGTATTCAATTAGTCACTAGAAGCCCTCTTAAGTTATCTACTATATGCTCAGTTGCCTCAAGCTGGTATTTCTTCCTTGAAGGCCCTGCTTTCTACTTGGATCAACTCATGTATGCAAGTTGTCACATTAAAGAATACTAGTGTTCGTTTGAGTATCTCATAATCTTGAGCAAAAGAGTACTTATTTTCGCTCCTAATATGAAGATCGAAATGTAATCAGCATAACACATTATACAGGCCGGATCAAATTCAAACTCATAAAAAAATGTTAGCGATCAGCTAGAACTTATAGAACTTATAATATTGCTTGTCTTATTAGTTGCTGTTTATCATATATACCTGAGAGTGTATCCAATCAGATCCTAATTCTGCTTATGGAATTTAGCAGAGAAGGAGTCAACCTTGATTATCTTCTAGTATCTATTGTTTGCCTGCATGTGTTCATGAGGAACAGAGATAAAAGAAAGTGTACAAGTTATCTGAGTGTGTCTCTCTTTTCTTCTCAGGAGATGTCTAAATGTCTTTGCTGCAGGAGTACAAATAAAACCAATCTATAATCAATCAGCACTCAACTGACTTGTGTTTTGTTGTAATAATAGCTTGTTAGGTATGGCCTGGTCATACTATTGAATGCTTTAATGTGGGGATGTTATGTAAATAGCCTAAAAGCTCTATCATCTCTCCAAGCTACCGTTACAAACTTTGCAACGAACTTTCTCTCTTCTGGATTGGCTGGATTCTTCCTCTTCAAAGAGGTGTTGCCATTTCAGGTAATTAAGATGATTTTCAGAAGTCAAGACACCTGCACACTTCAACTTATTATGATAGCAAGAGTTTCCCCAAATCCAGCCTTATCCATGGCTACATGCCACAGTTTTACTTAGTTGCTGCCATTGCAGCACTTCCTTTGTCCTCCTTAGAGAGTGAAGTGATGGACTCAAAGAAGTAGTTTAGTTGAGTTTTGACTCTCTTATATCATCTTTTTGTGCCAATGGCTAAACTTAGTAGTGGTTTACATGGTCATCCACCATCTGTACTTTAATAAGTTTGGATTGAACTTTTGCTATATAAGAAGTACCAGGAATTGCCTTTCATCTAAAAGTATAGTTGGTTGAATATTAGACTTAATAGTTTGTCTTGCATATTGAACTTCTAAAAGTCTAGTCACAAAAAAAAAGAGAGGTGGATCCCAAAGTGCTTGAAATACTTAAGAGGAGGCTTGCAACATTAGGGCATCAGACTTGAGCAAGTTGTTTGGACCATTAGCTATGCCAAAACCCCCAATCGGACTATCACATTGTATTATGTAAACTAGAAATTTGTTTGAACTACTGACAAGAATGTAAAATATCTTTTGCAGTGGTTTGCCGGTGCAACGATTATTGTACTCGGTGTGATAGTTCTCAGCAAGTCAAGCAAAGAGGGAAAAATGCACACTGACTAGAAAAGCTGGGAGGTGGGACTGTATTAGATTCAGCAGTTTTGTATTCCTTTGTCGTTGATCATTGTGGCATCCAATTGGCCGGTACAGCTCCATAAGCTAGGCCAAAACTTCGGCTACCTTAAATCTTTTTACTGAAGATCTCTGTTCTTGTATGTCCGGAAAAACATAACCATAGGCCAGCATATTGTTCATCTAATCCATACATACAGAATGTACATTTGATCATCATAAATATAGACAAGTAGTTTCTACTGATATTTGCATGAAATTGTAATGCTTTTATCTTCTTTTTCTGAGCCTCATTCTGGAAAAGACACCAAGACCAAATGTGCAGCAAGCTCAAACACCAGCTTAGCTAAAAAGGTGATGCTAATTTGTCGAAGGAACAAAACGCACAGAACCAACAACAGATAATATCCAATTTTTCCTCGTACATATTTCTTTTTATTGAACAGCTCTGTCCTGAAATAACAAAGTTAAGTCAGCATATTACTCATCTGATTTGTGCAGGGTATATGTTTTACAATCATAAAGATCGGGCTAGTGGTTTCTTAACTATTATATTCCCAATAAAATTGATGCTTTCATCTCTACTCGTGTTGTGAAAGCTACCAAGGCCATATGTGCAGCAAGCTCAAGCCTGAGGTTGGGCAAAAAAGAGGTGGATGCTAATTAGTCCAAGGATCAATACAGACAGAACATTAGTTAAAAAAAGTGATGCTAATTACTCAAGGGAAAGAAAACACACAGGAGCACACACAGAACAATTGAAAAAAAAAAAATCAGTGCAGAATCTTATCCTCATAAAAGTTCTGTGTAAATTGATTCGCACCACGCTTGGTAAGAGTAAAAGGCTGAAATAAGCATAGAATGCAACTTCAAGGGGGAAACTAAAACTGAAGATAGCCCTTTACCTCATTTTACATTTGGTTCAAAGGCAGTCTACAGGGAAAGAACTGAACGCTGACAACATTGAGTGATTCTTGCAGAAGTTATTAGAGCGTATTGAGGAACAAACAAGTTCTAATTCCTGTGATTGGTCTAAAGGACATTTCAGCCAATTTCCACATGTATGCTAATAGTAAGCCAAGTTGTTCACAAAGAATGTTCGCGTTCATAACTAGTTTACGCCAATTTATATTCCAAGCTCTACCCAGAGGTCTGAATGTGACATAAAAGTTTTCTCACTAGCAACTTGGTTATTTGAAGTTTTTTGTTCATCACAGATTAATGCTAGTTATGAAACAAGGATCAGTTGTATTCCCAAATGATGTTGGTTTCTGAAAGAAGTTCTTAAATGGTGAAAGTTTATTAAAAAAAAAAAAGAAAACGTATTCACCAAATTAGTTTTCTAGCCAACTTATCCATTGAATGCGTTGTTTAAGAAAATAATGCTTAAATTATTGAAACATTGTATTTTGTGAATGTTTCTTTTAAAAAGCATTGCATTCATCAAATGCGTTTTTTGCTCTTTAGAAACAATGTTGAGAAACATCACCTTTTAATAATATTTTTATTAAAACTCTCACTTTTTGGGGATCTACACTTATAAGACGACAAGGTGGATGCTAGTATCATTTAAAAACTGTAATACCATGTAAAATCATGTTCGTCCTCCATGAATATTACAATGCTCAACCAAATTCTCAATTTGAACCTTTATTTTTCCCCATAATGGATGTTGATAAACACATTTTTTTTAAACTTCTAGCCTGCATTTCCGTTTTGGCCAATTTCATCCCTTTCCCAGTCCATCTGGCACAAGTTCATTAGTTTGCAACAAAAATTTCTTTTGATTATGCCTGGCACAAATCGAATCTGGTATTTTCCTGATAGATGCTGAATACAAGTTAGGGAAGGGATAGGCGTTCTAAATTGCTAAGTAAATCAGGAAACTCAAAGACTTCTACGATGAAACAAAAGATAACATGGCAAGGATCAGAATCTAGGCAAATATTCATGCCAATGCTGCTTCCTTCACAAGTGCATTTTCCCAGGTATTCTCTCCACTTCAAGATCAAAAGAGGCCAGCAAAATCCGGTTATGACATTACTGTTGACATTTATAGCACTTGAGATCAACTGACCAAGTTCTCTGAGAGTGAAGATGGTTAAGCGTTACATTTCAACCAGTACTGAGACAAACTGATTAGGTATCTTCACTTGTATAACTAAGCTTGCTCCAAGTGATATGATATATCACATTGTTTAAGCGGATTACACGCCAGAAGGAAGTAGATTTTCTACAGTCAAAATACATAGATTTGCTATATTGCTAGGATTGCATTCATCAAAAATAAGAGAAAGTTGTGATCACAAGACAATTCATAATTGGTCAAAGAATTAGGCAGCTCATCAAGATTAACAATGGGGCAGCAGTTCAAATGGACCCAATAGAGAGGAGGAAAATACAAAAACAAAACCACAATGACGCCCTCAGTAACAAAAACTCAATATAGTAAGTTGACATTAAGCAGCTAAGTATTTGCATTTTATTTTACTTTGTAGTCAATTCAAAGCTATTGTAAGAGTTCCCTGCAATTGTGTAAAGGAAAGCACAGATCTTTAATGCTCCTAACAATTTTCAGGGAAACACAATGAGAAGCCAATTACTTCAATGTGCAGAAAAAAAAGTAATTTACCTTCAAACAAATTGAGAGTGCACAACTGATCACACTCTGAGTTCATCATTGAAATCAAGGAAATGTAGCTAACTTGTACCAATCATCTTCTTCCCTCTTTCTAAATTAGTATCAGCAACGGCAGATTTTGATTTTGGCCATATAGAAAGAGGTAGCTAGCCCCATTCCTGGCAATGGCTGAAGCCAAGAGAAATTATGAAATGTGTCCCCGGACAGGGAGACAGCAATTCTTCTCCTGGCAGATATATCAGCATATGATAACATTAGAGCACCAGAGGATTGCTTCTTAAAATACAAGCATGCACAGAGAAAAATTATAGCTTTGTAAGACTAGTTTGACAATTATAGACTCCTTACAAAATATTTAAGGTTTTTTTTTTCATTTTTTCAATTTTTTTTCCTTTTGCATCAGCATCGCTGATTGAAGAAAGCATCTATCCATCTCAGTTGGTGGCTTAGTTGATGGAAATCTGCAATGTAGGTTGAAACAAATGTATTGACCATTTTTTTAACAATTGGTAAAAACAATACTGGGAATGCTAAATGTGCATAGATGTTCATGCTTATTTATCAGATTGCCAAGCAAAAGGGCAAAAGGAAAAAAGATTGAGGAATGCCTATAGTAACCAACCTGACTTGTATCAGTTACGACTTACGACTAAGACCCCAAAAACTAATCGTTCCATTCCTCTATTTATTCAGAACGTGAAATTCCTATTATAACCAGAGCAAAAGATCAAAGAGAGGTAGCCAGTATTTGGGAGGACTTGATTGATAACATTGCTAGAGAATAAAAATCTTAAAAAAGAAAGGAAAAAGAAGTACCTTAAATTATTTAAATGGATGATAATTGAGGATTTGTAACTTTGGGAGGCAAGCCCTGAGCAGTAACAGGCGTTACCATCAAGGAACTAGCTTCAAATCAACTATTACACAAGAGATGTGCGCAACTTTGGGCCAATCTTGACCTTTCTCCCATTCTAACCTTGGTTTCAGCAGTGGACACGCCCTAATTTCCAGATTGGTAAGAAAGGCAGGCAGTCCCTCTTCTGGTAGGGACTGAAGTCGAGTGCAGTTTCTGATATATAGCAGTTGAAGAGAGGTGAGATGTCGTAGACCAGAATAGTTTAGCATTTTCAGATTCTTATGGTCCATCAATAAGAGAGTTTTGAGATTAGAAGGCAACAGCCAGTCTTTCTCTGGAAATAGCTCTATTTCATCAGTACCACCGATGCTCAAATTTATGAGAGAAGGGAGTTTCTCCAAACCCCACTCTCGTCGGCAGCTCATGACCTTTTTGCAATTGGAGATGTCGAGAGATTGTAAGCTGGACGGCAAACCCCCTTTTGGGAAGCACTCAAGTTCCGGGCAACTGAACAAATTCAGATGTAGAAGAGATGGGAGGAGGGATTCCATCCGTTCCGGCAGTGCCTTGAGCTTCTCGCAAAACGAGAGACTAATTCCCGTGACGTTGGGGGCTGGCAATCCTCCCTCTGGAAAAGGCATTAAGGATTGCAGTGAAGTCAGACTGCTTTGATCCCCAATCCCGCATGGAGGAACTAAGAGCATCTCAATACCCTTGCAGTGGTTAATGGAAAGACGTTTCAGCATAGGAAATGAGCCAAGCAAGACGACTTTGAGAGATTGACAATGATGTAATGTCAAAAGCTCCAGGTTCCTACCCTGCCAGCTTTGACTCTTTAAGTCAAATTTGTCACATCTATAACATTCAAGCGATTTAAGTGAGGCAGGTAGGTAATTCACCGGAAAGGGTAAAAGAGACCCACAATCCTGTATTTCCAACTCCTCAAGACTGGTTAACTTGCAGAGTTCTGGGGACAACAATTTCAAATCCTTCAGATGTGAAATCTTCAATTCATGAAGGGATGACAGTTGAATGTCTCCTTTGAAGATATTCAATCGACCATTCTGAATCACGAGTTTGTCACATCCAGATATCTCGAGTCTTCTCAGTGATGACAATTGTTTGGGAAACTCTCCGATTAGCTTGGGACAATCAATTATACACAGCTCTTCCAGGCTACAGAAAACGTCACATTGTGGTATGTGCCACTTCTCCCACTCTGGCATCTTCTCAATTCTCAACTTCTTGAGAGATGGGAATGGTCTAGTTGCACTGATATCTCCATAGAACTCTTCGGTCAAGGCTAATATGCAGCTCATTTGAACAATTTCAAGTGATTGCAAGGACTTTAGCTGCCCAAGTGCAGGCAAAAAAAAACAATATTCACAACCAGACAGGCTCAAGGATTCCAAATGGCTTAATGTAGGGCTGCCCAGCCAATTTGGAAATGTTGCCCCGCAATATCTTGTGATATTAAGACGCTTTATCCTTGAATCAGGTTGTAAATTATCAAGTACATCTTCTACAGCTTGTAAATAATTATCTTCATTCCACTTGAGAATTAACTCTTCAAGGTGTTTCTTGCCCTTTATGTTCGCCATAGATGCATCCCTACCACTAGAAACATTTTCCAGCCCAGAAATCAACAGCCTGCCACGAAGCATAGGAAGTTTGCCCAACTCCTCAATCGTCGAATCACTATCCTTGCCCACTATGAAAGTAGTCAGGACTTGAAGTTTTCTCAGTCTGCCCATTTGTGGTGCCATTTTCTTCAACTGAATTCCACTAATATCCAGGTAACACAAGTTAATTAACTTTGCAAGATTTGCTGGCAACTCTTTAAGTTTGTTGCAGTTTGACAACAATAGGGTTTGAAGATTATACAAGGTACATATCCAATCCTGTAGCTTTTCTATGTTTGTAGAAGAAAGATCCAGAAACCGAAGTTGTTTCAAACGAATATATGAGTCTGGTAACTTAACGATGTTATCATAATTGGGCAAAGATAGAACCCTCAAAGAAATGAACTCGGGCAAGGTATCCTCCAAGAATTTGTTGCTTAGTTTACAACTAATATCAGAAAATTGACCCCTTCTCAATGGTAAAAATGTTCTTAGATTCTTGGAATCCCTCAAGAGATAAAATGTATGAAATGTGTCATAGTAACTAGGATGGTATGAAAAGTTTCTTACTCTAGATATTGTAGCATCTTCCTCCTGATGATCTTCCAACCTAAGACAATATTTTCCGAAAACAAACCTAGCCAAATCATTGACAAGGTCATGCATGGTAAAAAGATTTTCAGTTGACTGCTGAAACAATAATCTCATTCTCAGATCATTAAAGCACTTCTCACCCTTGTTTTCAATTGTTTTATTTTCTTCAAAGTACTCTAAAAGATCATTAGCTTGCCATAACTGAATTATTTCCTCTTTTCTAAACTGGTAATCTTTGTGGAACATAGCACAATAAGCAAAGCACCTTTTAAGACCGGAAGGAAGGTGAATGTAGCTTAATCTCAAGGCTGGTATAGGTCCATTTTGATTATCAATTTGAGTCCACTCTTCACTTGTAGAAATCTCTTCCCACTCTTCACTGGTGGTTTTGGAACGCAAAATACCTGCAATTGTTTTTACAGCCAAAGGCAACCCTCCACACTTCTTCACAATTTTCTTTCCGATTTCTTCAAGTTCTGGATTGTGATTGTCATTTCTGATTTCAAATGCATGTGTTTGGAATAGAGACCAACAATCTTCAGTTGATATCAAATCCAAATGGTGAATTGATTCTTTTTTACCCATCGTCCTTGCAACACGGAGATCTCGTGTTGTAACAATGATCTTACTTCCTTGTAATCCACCTTTGAAAGGGGTCCTTAAATAATCCCAATCAGTGTAGCTACTATTCCAAACATCATCTAGAACAAGAAGAAACTTTTTATCGGTTAGGCCATCTTGTAGCTTTCCTTGAAGGGAAAACAATTTCTCGCCGTCATGAAAAGAAATATTGAGTTCCCTTAGGAGTTCCTTTGTTATCCTAGTAGCATCATATTCTTCTGATACACAGACCCATGCCCTAGTGGGAAAACTCACTTCCACCCTCAAATCTTTGTAAACCATTCGAGCTAAAGTGGTCTTACCAAGCCCACCCATTCCAACTATTGGAACTACAGTGATATTGTCTCTATTTGCATCCTCAGAAAGCAACATTTGAATTATCTTCTCTTTATCAGCATCTCTCCCAAAAATAGTAGTCTCATCAACCAAAGGTGTTTCGAATCGTTGCTGTGATTGTATTCTGGATTGAACAACTTGCAAACCCAAGGGGGTAATTTGTTGTATACATCCCTCCAGGCTCACCACTATCGTTTCAATCTCAGGCATAATCCTCTTAAGGAATCTATTACCTGAAGATGTACAAGGCAGAATCCTTTCAAGGCATAATCTGCTGGTTGAGCTTTGGTACTCGCTTTCTACCTTAAGTCGCAGAGCTTCAGTGTTGATTTTGTCCAGTAGATCCTCTGCTTGATAAAATGTATCATGAAGCTCTTCAAGCCATTTCTTGACCGATTGGTTCCGTATTTCCTTGTTCTCTGCATCATCAAGCACCGCTCCAACAGTCAGTAAGCTCGTCTTGAGCTTCTTGAGGAGATCATCATCAGCCTTTCTATTACGAAACAAATTCAGGAATTCTGGTCTAGCCATCCTATCAAATAGCACTTGAAGGAAAGCGGAAAGGAGTGAGCCTCCCACTAAGGCAGCAGCCATATCTCCAGGCGGAGGTAAAGTGAAAGAAACTTGCACAAGGGAACCAACGAGAGAAAGAAACCTGCAATCACTGAGAATAGTTAATTTTGTTTGAGAAAGCCAAGCTGAAATAGAGAACATGAATCAGTTCACTGGGTGTGGCTTTAGTTCTTGCTGCGCAGGATCCTTTTTTTTTTTTTAATTATAATGAATTAGTAAAAAAAGGAATTGGCAGCCATAGTTGTTTGCCAGTTAATACATACGCATAGGATAGAATTTCGAGCCTCTATTAAAATGAAAAACGAACTTTCAGGAAAGAAAAAATGGAGAACCCAACAAAAAATCATTGAAGTTTTTTTCTTTCACATATTTCTTTGAACATTTTTATATTTTCATTATTGGTATAGATATTTTATGAATTCTAAATTCAGTATAAAACCTATTAAATGGACTAAAGACCTGCTTAGACGTTTAAAAATTGAGAATAGTCAGCACAGAACCTTTGAAACAATAGAAGACAGGAGAATTAGTGAAAAATATAAGAACTACGCTGTTAATAGTAATTTTTCCCCAACTTTTCATCATTGTTATTGTTGTTATTTTAACTCTTTGCAATCATGTATAAATCCAATAACAAATACATTAAAATCATCATATCAACAGACAAAGAACAAGTTTCTGAAGTGAATCGAAATTCAGTTCATTTTAAGGGTCAAGAGTTTGAAAACCACTGTTCAAACCAGATACAGATTTGGGGTAAATCAATTGCAGATACGAATTTTAACTTTTTACCACTGACCATGCTAAAGATGATTAGAACTGTATTAGTACAATAGTAGTTCTTGATATAATTGAGGTTTTCCTCTTGTAAAACTTGATCGATGATCGTAATAAAATTTCATCTTTGGCTAAAATTCAACAAAATTGCAAAATTTGATAATGAAAAACAAATTGAAGATGAGTGAAGCTTACCGTCAAATGATATCGGCCTTAGCAGTCAGTACTGGATGAAGCTTCCCTGCCCCTCAACTTTGTGGTGATGAAGACTGATGCTGGGGAAGGTTTGGTGTAGAATATATGATCAAAGTTCGTTATTGTTCCACAGAATACACAGAAGTTCTACCAACAAAGAAACTAGAATGCAACTCTTATTGAAAATACTCCATCTATTACTATCAAGTTTCCTTCGATTGTTTAAGGAAAGCAAGTGAAGATCAGTCATGCTCATGGGGAAGCCTTTTTTTTTTCTTTTTAAAAAAATATATATATATATATATATATATATATATATATTTTTTTTTTTTTTTTACACTCATTGTGTATAAATTAGCAAACATGAATTTATGTCACATATACAAGAATTATTATTTAAGTCCAAATTGAAATTAGTTGGTCAACATCTATACCCTCTAATGTATGCGCTATCATCGAATTAACTGTACGTACGTATGTATGTGTGTGTCTGTATATTGCAATGATCCAGTAAAAACAAAACTAATAGCTAAAGTTGTTAATACATGTCCAACTTGGGGATTGACAGGTTTTTGTGCTAATGAGTACCTATGCAACTGATTATCACTTTGAGTCCATATTTAAATGGAAAATGGACTTGAAAAGAGAAAAAAAATGGAAAAGGAAGAGTAGATTTCCTCCTTTAATTCTTTCTTTAGATTTTATTATGCATGAGTTTCTTGTCTTACCCAAAGTTCCCCCATAATTTCACTGACTAGTTTTACATTAAATTAGATGTTCATGCTTATTGTTTGTCAGTATATTTGCTGCATAGAGGCTGCCATCAGTGGGCCAATAGTTCCATATGAATGTTTTCAAGTAGATCAAGATCGAGGGAAAAAATTAAATGACTTTTCTCAGGAAAGAATTATTGGACCAAAAAAAAAAGATGTCGTAAATGAACATCCCCGACAAAGATTATTAAATGTTCAGTGCATTTCGCATTGAAAGGAAAATCTAAAATGAAGCACGCAACTCGACGGAAAGATAGACTTGGTGGACGAATTTTTCAAACCAACAAAACAAAAGCAAAATAAAAAAGAAAAAGAAAAAGAAAAAGCAATGGTGGTTGGTAAGGAAATTAACCAATATTGCTTCCCTTTGGTGGTGATCAAGGGAAGGACAAACTGACAAGAAATTGTCCTGTGAGGCGATTAATTAAAAATGATTGTAGAACCACAACGATCTTCTATCACATTCTTTATGCCACACTCTATCTCTTTTTTTTATTATATTATTATTTTTTCTTCATAAATATTATATTTTGTTTTGTGGGACAGAAGATTCATTGCGCTATGAAACCTATAGTAGTACCACTCTTTCAAGAAAAAGAAAAGAAAGTTGCTCTAATTTCTTTTAGCAAACTTTTGGCTAGAAGTAAAATAAAGGATGTGTAATGTTTGGATATGGTATCATTTGAAACAGTATTTTAAATAATTATTATAACACTTTTTTAATGTATGTATGTGAAATAAAAAAGTAATTAAAACTATAGAAGAATATTTTGGAAAATATGTTTATTATCCCAGAAAAATAATAATTGAAACAGTGTTGTATCCAAATGTGTGCATTTCAGAAAACTCCTTGCACACTTTTATTATGTATTTTGTCAAATTTATACATGTTTGATCTAAATTATTACAGAGTGTTTAAAATGTTCAAAAGAATGTGAAAGTATCATAAACCTTTGTGAGACTCTCCATTTGCGTGGCAGAGCATTTGTGTGAAAGCAGCCAAAGACTACTAGAAATGCTTGTACCATTCAGTTTACGATAAGAATCCAAGACAACCAATGACCTCACATATCTGAAATTAACTCCACAATTATTCTAGTATGGGATTCCTATTGTTTGACAAAATAAAAAAAAAATTGATTTTGAGGTGCTATTGGTAAAAATAAAAATAAAAAATCTCATACTTGCATTTGTTTAAGTGATGTAACTACAGCGAGTTCAGGTAGTTTTGTTGTTAAGTTTTGAATATTTTCTTTATTTTTTTTAACAGATTGCGGCTAGTATCGATAAATTTTCTTTTTGTATCAAAAAGAAGAAAAAATATACATATCATGCTGAGGCGATAGTCGATCAAGTGTTTATAAAAGGCATTCGAACAGCCTCTAGAGGTCTTATCTATATCTCTTTAATTTGTCCTACAATAGTTGAAGTTGTCAAGGTTTGGACCCAATTAGTTATGTTCAAATTACAAATAACCAAATTGATTCATTTTCCGAACATATGGGATAGAATTTATTTTGTGCAAAACAAAAGGGACCAGTGCACAAAAGGGACCATTTTGAACAACAACTTAAACTTTGGGTTGAAAGTTGCAAATCCCTCATTCAACAAAGTAAATACAAATAGCAAGAGCTACCAAGCACATAGTCAAAGATGAGCATGAAAATTGACCCAAAAAAATAGTTTTTGAGTAAATAAACCTCAAAGTTTCATATCAAGTTAGACAAATCTTATCTCTCCAGAGAGAATTCATAAATGGAAAGATATAGAAGTATACTCAGACTGTTGTAGTGATAGCTGATCTCAACAAGATAAAAATAAAAGAAAAAGCATAGTAATTGTAATGACCACATGACCCAAATTTTAACAAAACGCAATGAATCTGCAAAAATTGGAAGTTAGGTCGAACAAAACTGAAACTTACAGTAGCACGCAGAACAAGTTTATTTCAAATGATTTCGTGGTCACAAATCAGTCCAGAACTTGATGAAGCTTCTCTAGCTCTTCTGCTTCTGTGCTGAATTGGTGGTAAGGAACTAATGAAGATTGCCGTGGTGAAATGGAAAGTGGTGACGAGTGAAGTTGGAGAAACGGTTTTGGGATAGAGTCCGTGCTAAAAGAAACTCCAAGAAATAGAAGATGTTTACCAAGTCATCAGAAAACAATGAAAGAAATAGAAGGATCTGCCACAAGAAATTGTCTTTTGATGTGATTAATCCAAAAGTGTATGGGACCTATAGCAACATCTATCTAACTATATAAAAGCGGGAGTTGGAGAATGAACAGTGCCATTTTGGTCGAGCGGTTATCACGTAATTTTCAGCAACTTTGATGGCTTTTGTATTTGTTGGTTTTGTCGGCTTTTCGGCAACTCCATTTGCATCAGTCTTTGGCAGTTCCTTATGTCATTAGAATTAGCCTTAGTAGTCCTTCATTTTTTGCTAATGCCATTTCCGGTTTCTGCCTTACTCAGGAGACCGAAAGACGCATGTTATAGTTGTGCGGTCTCTTTGTAATTTATTTGTTTTTGTTCCTCTTTGTTTGCATCATTTTTGCCTATTGTGATCCGCAGAGACAGGCCATCTTAGCTATTCTTGAGTATTAGTTTAGCCTTAGGGTTTGTCTTATTTTACAGTTATGCCATCCCTTTTTTCCTTCGTTCAAGCTGCATGCTATAATTGCTTGATTGTTTGGTAATTTTGTTGTCTTCTGACCCTATTTTTTGTTGACTCATTGTTCACTTTTGTGGATGCCTCACTTTTTGTTTCTACATGTTTCTTTGAAACCCGCCTCTTCTTCGTTGGAAAATTGCCATTTTGACTTTGAGTAATCTACTGTTTTGTGCCCGCGTGAATGGTACAGTGGTAGCACCTCTCAATGGTGACCGCAAGGTTCCGAGTTCGAGTCTCTGCTCTGCTGGATTCCTCCGCGCACTTATCGTACTAGGGTCGGGTTGGGACGCCGGGCCTGGGCCGCAGGAGATTAATCGGACCCCGTAAGGATTGACCCAGAATTTCCACATTTTCCTTCCTCTTAATCATGATGCTTGTTAAATTTTTCCCATTTTTACTTTTATTCATGCTTATTTATATTCTTTTATTTTACTAAATATCATATGCCTTTTATATTCTTTGTTGCCTACATTCTTCACATCTAACTATACAATCAATATATTTATGTGATTTAATGTTATTATATACCTTTTTATTTAGGCTCTTTAAGTTGGAATGTTGAATTTAGTGATATTTTTTACTTTTTAAACAAAATTTAAAAGTTAGTCTTGTAATTTTAGTAGAAAATTAATTTTGTGGTTAATTATTTGCTTATGAAGTATTCTGTAAATGCACAATTATTGAGGAAACAATTAATAAATTATTGTTGGCTTAAAATGAAATAAAATTGTTAAGTGTTCTGTAAAGACACAATTATTGAGGAAATAATTAATAAATTATTATTGGCATTAGTGGCTTTAAAAAATGAATTTTATTACTGTGACATGAAATAAAATTGTTTGCAAAAAAAATGAATGCATATATTGCAAAAAAATGAAATAAAATAGTGTTCTGTAAAATTGTTAAATGCAGTGGTTGTTTAGCATGTTTAGGAGTAGCTTTTGACTGCACGATTCCTAAAAATTGAACAGCGGAAAAAGAAAAAAAAAAGAGAGAGAGAGAGAGAAGTCCAACATTATTATCACAAATAACCAAAATCGGTTAACGTGTCAAGGGTTTGGACTAAAAATGGTTTCTAATCCTACTACTTTTTAAAACATACAATTATAAAGATATATTAGTCTATATATCCATATTTACTCTATATAATTATTACAAATTTTTAATGCCTTTGTTTTTATTCTTATTCTTTTCATTCTATAAAAAAGAATAATTAGTTTGTTATTTACTAATAGCTTGGATATCTAATAACAATTGCAGGATAACCGCTCGACAAAAAAACACTGTTTATAGGGCAACTCTCACTTTTATATTGTTAAATAAATATCCATATTTAATGTATGTATATAATTATTATAAAATTTTTAGCATATTCATTTTTCCTAATGGCTCAAAATTGCTCTAAATTGAAAAGCAATGTTGTATGCTATTTTTTTATTATTCTTTTAGTCAAACATGCAACATTAATTAAATTGTTTCTTACATTAAAAAAATTAAAGTACTGTAAATTTCAAAAACAATGTATAATAATACATGGATCTTAATGTGGATTAATGATCTAATATTAGTGAGCGGCATTTTACAAAAATATGAAAGAAAAATAATTGTTATGATTATATTGATTAAATGTTTTAATTTGTGCAAAAAAAAAAGGAAATAGACCCATATTTATGAAACTTAGTGAGTAATATAGATATACATAAATATAGATGGGTATCTTTATAATTACCTCACCCAAACCACATAATTTATACAAATCATACCACACAAAATGTCGACACTACATTGTCTCAATTATAGTACTTTATTAACCATTATATTTCAAAATATCCTCCATACTTCACAAACTATTAACACTATATTCACCTAACCAATTTACCGCACTATTATTTTATAATTCAAGTCAGACTTATAATAATTATATAACTCTCTGCAGTATAAGAAATATATAACGGCTAAAAATTAAGCAACTTAACATGGGAAATATTAGCACTCCTGCGCAACGCGCAGGCCGTCTCACTAGTTTTTTAAAGAACGAAAATGGAAGTTGCTGTTTAAGTTTTAGCAAATTTTCTACCAAGTTGCTACTTTTTTTTGGGAAAATTGTTTAAAACATCTCTCACATTTCACCAAATAAAATTTTTCATTTTTCACTTTTAAAATAGTAACTTTACATCTCTTACAAAATCAAATCAATAAAATTTAGTCTCAACCTATATTTTCAACCACATTTTAGTTTGAAACCTTCACGTGACTAGTTAGCAATTATTTTTATGTATAAAAAGATCATATCTCACTTTTTTAGTGACAAAATTAAATATGGATTTGGTCCAATCCCACTTTTTTTTTTTTAAAAAAAAAGGAATATGATTTGAGTCCAATCCTACTTATTTAGAGGCAAAAATGAATATCGATGGAGTTATTTTATTAACTACAAATAGAATCTAACCTTTTTGTCACTAAGAAAATGATCATGTTTGGGTTACATGATGGATTTAGGGTAAAAAATGGTTAAAAATTTAGGTTATGACCAAATTTTATCGACTTAATTTTATAAGGAACGTAAAGTTACTATTTTTAAAATAAAGGACGAAAAAATTTAGCTAACGAAATGTGAGGACATTTTGAACAATTTTTCCTTATCTGTTAACAAAATTTTTAAATATTTGTTAGTTTCCAAATTACCAAGTTGGCCCCTAAAAATCATTTTCCCTGAAGAATATTTTTCACATTAATTAACTGTAAAATTCTACTATCTGATAGTATTAAACAATTTTGAGACGGTACATTTTCAATTTCTGTTCAGGAAAAATTTGCAGGTGCTATGCTAATTACTGTTATAACAAATGTTGGCTAAACCAAAAATCAATTTTCGAGTTACTGCATTAGATGCTAAAACATGATAAAATGATGTTACGTTAGAGAACCAAAATAGCTCTTGAAACTATATCTTCTTAAATAATGAAAATTTTTTCTAAATCACGAAGACAATAAAGTGCATGCTTCTTAATTTTGGTGTTGCGACCTCCAAATCCAATTAATGAAATCACCAAAATTGTCAAAAAGTACACTTTAATGACTTTTCTTCAAGTTTGTAAACTTTAAATTAACATTCTAATTGTATAGAAAAACTGATTCTCTCTTCTTTCTCTCTAGAAAACTCTCTAATCAAAGTTCTCTTCAAGCCTCCCATGGGAGAGAGATCAGATTTTTCTGATCTTTTCTCATGGAAGAGTCCCTCTCTATAATTTCTTTTCATTTGTATGAATAAAATCTCTATTAGAATTTCCTAATGAAAGTTTCTTCTCTCCTAAACTTTTCTAGTGAAAGTTTTTTCTCTCCTAGGGACTCCTGGTGAGAGTTTTAGGTATTTTTCTTTTATTAGATCTAAGTTTTTTAGGGTTTTGATACAAATCTGCATTTTTTTTGGGTCTATTTGGCAAATTTCACCATAATATTTGGATTTGAAATATTTAATAAATAGATCTGGTGATTGGAAGCATACCTAAATATTCATGGAGTTACAATTATTTTATTTCATTTTTAAAATTTGGAGCTTTACAACACAATTTTTATCTATTCTTCAGATCTATAGTATCCATTTTTCATATCTGTTCTTTAGTATTCTATTTGATGATTTAACTTTTTATCATTAGTGCAAATTTTAATAAAATTATGATGTTTTATTAAAAAAAATGACTTTTCTTTGGAAACAATTGTTGGGTGCCATTCAAAGAAAGCTTGGCAGATTAGCTTCGTGACACCGATTGCAAAAATCAAATTGCAGATAAGCACGAAAAAGAAAATGAAAAACACGAAAGAGACTAAAAGTCTAGGAAAAGACTTCAATGCTAAACAACAAAAAGGCTAAAAAGTCTTACATACAGTCGTGACTGGCCAAACAAGGGCAAATGAAACTTCAACACTCAAAAAAAAGCGCAATTAATGGAAACATCAATAATTAGAAAACAACAAATTGCAGATATAAAGAACTGGATTTGGAAAAGTTGGTGTAGTTTATACTAAAGGAAATTATACTAACAGTCAAAAATATTGTCGTGCTTATTGTCATAGATGCAATACTTCTTTACTGTAACTAGTAGAGTGATGATGTCGTTTATGATTGAGATGTATACCAAACTTGGATTCCAAATTCCAAATTGTCAGACTACATTTGTTTTTTGAGCCAAAAAGATAAATGATGTCGTTTTTTATGTGAATAGAGAAATTACAATATACAACGATATGAACTTGACAAAACATTCACATGGGAGAAACTAACCGGTTATCATAAAACTAATTTCAAGAAACAGACAAAAACAGAGCAAGAAAAGTTTACGTACTGAGTTGGATTGAGTGGTAAGGTGAGAAAGAGTGTAAGCAGGAGATCTTGAGTTCAAAATCTCTCAATTACAAAAATTAAAAAAGAAAAAAAAAAGGAAATGTAGTCCAATTCGGGTTCTAAATTTTCTAATAACTAAATGCAAGTTGTATTTTTTTTTTTTGGCAAGGGATTATTTTAGAAACCACTCTTGAAGTTTCTAAAAATTTCACTT